GACCTGTTCTCTGCACAAACTGGCTCGATCTTTGTACTGGAGCTCCTGACCCTCGAAATGCTGGCTTCTTAAAAGGCTTAAAAACTAACTTATCTTTCTGATTATTCTCATCACTGCTCTTCTTCTTCTGGTCCCATCTTTTGTTTGGTTCATCTGCAATCTTTTCTCCCTTACTTGCTTTTTCAGCCTTTTTTGCTTGCTCTACTGCCTCCTCAAAAGTCTTTGACATGACTACTGTAACATTCTGATGAATTTCTGGCCTCAGTCCATTCTCAAACATCTCTATCTTATCAAATTCTTCTGCGACTAGTCAGGTGCATATCGAGATAACTCATTAAACTTAGCTTCATATTCTTCCACTGTCATATCATCCTGCTGCAATTTCATAAGCTCCCTCTTCTTGCGAGATCGAACATACAAGGAAAAATATTTCTCCTTAAATAATTTAACAAATATGTTCCTAGGAATATCCTTCCCCTCAAGTGATAAATTGGCCTTCTTAGTTTCCCACCAAATCTCTGCATCTCCCTCTAACATTAAGGTATCATAAAGAACTTTTTGTTCCTTTGAACACCTCAAAGCTCTAAAGTACTTCTCCATTTTCTTCAGCCATTCCTGTACCACTGTTAGATCAGAACCTCCCTGAAAAGATGGTGGAAACATCTTCTTGAACTTTTCAAAATCACTGCCAATAGGTTTAGTCTTCTTTTGTATATTTAGTGCTTCACTCAGCTTCTCAGTTGCCTCTGATTGCTTTTTAAAGATCTCCATTTGCCTCTCCATAAAACCACTCTGCATTTCAATAAAATAGCGGGTCCTTCAACACCCCACTAAGCTCTAGTAATCCCTCTCGCAGTCCTAGCAGTACGGGTAGCCATACCCCCACGAGTTCGGGGTCCTAATCTTCCCCTGACAATCCCATCATGAGCCTCATTTGTAACATTAGGGATCTCAATTTTTGTTGACCTGTATCATCATTTCCACCAACCCTAGTCCGGGGACGCTTACTCGATTGGGGTATACTTGAAGGAAGCGTAACATCTGCATTAGCCTCAAGTCTAGGAGAAGAGCGCCTCGTTGCAACACTAGAACCTCTCTTGCCACGACTTATCTCAATCTAATATTACCAAGATAAATATGTTTAGTACAAAAATTTTCATCATATTAATTTTTATTAAATCAATTCATATCATATTCATTACAAGCATAAGTAATCAAATAATATTTTCATGAAACACGTACATTGGACATGCCTTAAACTACCCAGACTAAGCCTTTTACCTTTAAGAAAACAAAAGTAAAGAAATTATGGGATCCATGGTTCTAAACTTATATACTTCTATACCCGAAAGTTGATCTGATAACATTCATATTGTCCTCGACCACACTTCAAAAATAAATTATCATATTCCATCATCATTATTATTTCCTCTAACTCTAACTAGGACCATCAACCTAGGCTCTGATACCAATCTGTCACGACCTCAAATTCCGAACCTAAAAGAAATATTAGAGCCGGACTAAAACTGTGAAAAAATCCTCCAAAATATGCATTCATTAAAAGACCATCAAAATAAACTCTTCATCGAGCTAAAACTAACAATAAATATTCTCTATAATGCATTCATTAAAAGACCATCAAAATAAACTCTTCATCGAGCTAAAACTAACAATAAATATTCTCTATAATCCCAAAAGTCAACACTACTCCAATAAAACTCTTCATCGAGCTAAAACTAACAATAAATATTCTCTATAATCCCAAAAGTCAACACTACTCCAATAATCTTAATAAAAATAAATATTCATCAACTTGAAATAAAACTCGACCTAAAGGAGAGAATCTCAATATTACAAAACTCTCAATTTATCAACTAAACATCAAGGACTTTATTTAACCTTCACCTAGAAAACAATAACAATCTCGAATTATATTCCTTGCTCCGTTCAAAGAATTAGACAAATCATCAATTCCACCTAATCCCGAGTCTCTGAAAAGAATGAAAACAACACAATGAGTTCACAACTCAATAAGTGGATAAATTCATACATTAGACACTGTTTTTTTTTTTTTTAAATTGACTTGATAAACAAAATACTAAAATAGTAAAAAATTATAATACAACATTTTCAAAATATATACATGCAATGGAAATAAGCAGGTCACGTCTCAATGTGATCAACACTTCGATACTCCGATCGACTTGGCAAACCCCACTATTATATAGCCGATGGTCAGGACGATGAGACCCAAACTTGGGCTCTTAGCGCTAAAATAGAAACCTCATAGAGGCATATTGAGCCCTGTTTTAATAACTTGCTTACATCCGACATATATCGGTATATTGACCTGAGATGCATATGCTTTAAGAAAATTAAACGAAGTCCGTAAAACTAAATACGTTATACAAAAAGGCCAAAGGCCAACCAATAGTGAAATCAATCAACCCCATATGCATTTCAACCTACTACTATATAAAAAGATATAACAATTGACAAAGACAATAATAACAATTGGCAAAGAAAATAAGCATAGACTTATACTAAATAACCACGTGTATTAATCCAATCAACAATTAGTATGCGAGCAACCATACAAACGAATATATTCCATCAGAACAAACTTACACATAGTTAATATAATTTTATATGACAAATACGCAGCGAATAATGTACAAATTCATCACTTACCCCAAACCCGAAAGACAACCGAAATACCACTCACGATGCCTCCTCGGTGCCACTCGAAACCGCTAAAGAATAAGTATAAACAATAATCTTTACTATTATATGCCCTCGACTCATAGCCTACCAACTTATAACTATACCTTTATTTTTTTTATTTATTTATTTTTTCTTCTATTTAAATAATTACACATCAGAATGCCTTCAACCAAGGAAATTAAATGCATGATTAATATTTATTTCATAATTCTTGTTAAAGAGGAGTATCATTGTCAGCATCATCTATAAAAATCTAAAAGTTGAAGTTGGGGAAGTGAGGTCTGTTAAAGAGGAGTATCATTGTCAGCATCATCTATAAAAATCTAAAAGTTGAAGTTGGGGAAGTGAGGTCGAATATCTAGGTCTCAGGTTGGTGGCATCATCTATAAAAATCTAAAAGTTGAAGTTGGGGAAGTGAGGTCGAATATCTAGGTCTCAGGTTGGTGATTACGTACATAACAAAAGAATTATTATTATTATTAAAAACTAGGTTGGATCATGACTGATCTACACAAAGAGACAAAAAAAGATCAATTAAGATTGCTCCTCTTATGCATCGTGTAAGCATGTTGGTAATACTAATTAGTGATGCTAAGATGAGGATTAGATAAAAGTGAACCTTGATTTGTTTCCTCCCAGGTACGCCCCACTGCCCTCTGAAGTTGTTGTCTGGTATTTTTTTCTTTTTTTTGTGAGAGGCGGAACAAAGACAGGAAAGAGGAGAAGCGGCTGACGGAATTAATGAGTTGGGTAGGGTTTTGGGGTATTTATAAAGACCCTTTTTGCTATTAAAACCCTCTAATAAAAATTTACATTAAACCCCTACATTTTTTTCTTATATATATCTATCTAAAGAAAACTTAGAATTATTACAGGTTTTGTGACAATCCATATAAAATGATATAACGGCCATATTGGGGATATATCACCCAAAATATATCAGCAGTAAAGGATATTTAGAGACCATATCGTTTGCGGGGGTTGTTCCTATCATCTTGACTTTTTTATCTCTATTCTTTTAATTATTTGATATGATGTGACTCCATTCTCATTCTATTGCGAACATGTGTCTCCACCATTTTCGTCAAACGACCACATTTCCTAGTAGATATTTCCTTTCATTGTCATAAAACAAGGTTTATGGGGCCACATAAGTGACCATATAAATGTATATGGTCCAGAAATGGCCTTATATGGCCAGTTCAATGTTCTAAAATAATGTTTATGGGGCCACGTAAGTGAGCATATAAACTATACGTCCCAAAATTGGTCTACGCAGTCAAAAAAGTACCTGAAAGATGTAATCAAGCCATTTAGATTATACACCCACAAGGGTGATTAAAGGAGCACGTATTCAGTTTCCTTCAGTGTACTAAACCAAGGTTAATGGGGCCACATAATGACCATATAAATGTATGTGGCCATGAATTGGCCTTATGCAGACGCAATGTGGGTAAATGATGATTAATGCCATTTTGGTTATGCTCCCACATGAGTGATTAAAGGAGCACACGATCAGTTTGGAGATTGTCTGTACCTGAAAACTTTTGCATGCAGGTTCAAACTCGAACTTAAACCCTGCCATTGTAATTAGTAAATATCTAGAACTCAAACCACTTCTCTATTTTCACCCGAATTTCATTCTCGATCTCTTTTCCTTTCAACTCAAACCACTGTAAATATCTAGATTTATTCACAAGGTAATAACATATTATCATCCTATTTAAAGATAAGAAAAAATTAACCTAAAATAGATCCAAAGGATTTAAACAATTAGTGAAATCTAAACCTAATAACCTGTACATTGCTGACAATCAATTGTTACAGAATAAGACTCCTATGTGTATTCTATATCTTCAATCTCACCCACTTCAAAACTGAAGTGATGTTGTTTAGCACTAAAGCATCAAAGCTCTTGCCATTTAGGATGCTCAAGCCTCCTAGCAAGAAAAGATAATCCTAGTTGACCAATAAACTGTTTCTGAAAGCATATGTTTGTATTGTAGTTTTATCTTTATCAAGTGACATTCTACTAAGTTAAAAATGCCCCTGACGTTATGGTCACATCTTTTGTAAAATAAGTATTATAGTGGTCATTACTAGTTTTTTTTACTCTTGATTACTTTTTCTGTCACCATTGTATTTAGCTATTAAAATTTGTTACCATCTTGTCAAGACAGTTTGTATTTGAAGCTTATTGTTGATTATTTGCAGTAATCTAGATTGTTTGCCCATTATGCTGCTTTCTTATTAGTTTGCTCTGTTGTTTCATGCAGGTGGCTATTCTAGATGGAATTACCATGGGGGGAGGTGCAGGAGTTTCGATTCCTGGGACATTCCGCATTGCGACCGACAAAACTGTATGGATTATATAATTGCGTGAGAGAACATCATCATGATCTCTTACTAACTTTGATAGACAATGTTACTTCGTGTTTCTTAGGGAGCGTTTGGCAACCATGGCGTTTTTGTTTTTGTTTTTAAAAAAAAAACAATAAAATACGTTTGGCAACTAAGGTGTTTTTTTGACTTGACCTTATACAAAATCCAAAAAATACACACTTTTCTCAAAACACCAAAATGGTGTTTTGAGATTCCGTTTTTTCATCTAAGTCGCGCGCCGCTTCCGACGCGCCGCGCCGCCGCCGGAGCCGGTCCGTCGTCCGCATCCGCCGCCGTTGCCGATCCGCTTCCTTGCCGCAGCCCTCGCAGTGCGCGCCGCCTGCTCCGTTCCCGCCCGTCGTTCAGTTGGGCTATACCGCCCGTTGGCAGGCGCACCGTCCGCAGGAACGCCGTCGCCGCCTGGCAGGCTGGCCCCCCTGCGCACAGCCACCGCATCACCTGCCGCCCGCCCGCTCGTGCGTCGTGCCTGCTGACGATCGTCGTCCGTCGTCCACATACCGCCGGCACGGCCACACCGCCGGCCGCCGCAGAATCCGCCGCCGTCGCCGCCGGCACTAACGATCGTCGTCCGCGCCGCCCCGCGCACCGGATGCCGCCGCCGCGCAGTGCGCCCCGTTTTATAAATAATAACTATAAATGGTGTTTTCAAAACATGTTTGAAAAAAAACCACCATGGCATGATGTTTTTCTAAAAAACACAACAAAAACAAACACCTCGATTATCAAACACACCCTTAATAATCTCATATATTAAAAACACCATTGTGCATATAAAAGGATGGATCCACCAAAATATATTTTTTCCATTAAAAGTTGTAACCAATAAGCGTTATTACTATTGTTAAATTTTTTTTGGGGGGTTGGGGGGGGGGGTTTTTTTTTGAGCATGGATTTAATAGTGCTTGTTGTCAAAAAAATTTAATTTTTTTACAGTTGAAGTGTAGAAAACCCATGTACTGTGGAGGTCATTGCAGTAAACCCCTATTCTACCACTTCGCAGTCCTTCGTACCAAACGCATCATGTGTTTGGAAACTAGAAGCCTCATTCTCACTTCTCGTAATTTCCCATGTGGGAATGACCATTCCCAATGAGATGTTAGAGAATGAACATTCCCACTTAAGTGAGAATAAAAAAAAAGACGTAACTTCCAAATATGCTCATTCCCACTTCATTCGCTAATTCCACCCAAACGTGAGAATGGAAATGAGCATTCCATTCTCACATTAATGCCATTCCATTCTCATAATAATGCCATTCCATTCTTTGTTTTATTCCATTCTCACTCCACTCGATTCCTGCATACCAAACGAGGCGTATTACTCTTGAACGTATGAATATCATTTTCGACTCTCCCTTTTTTTCATTAATAATTCAATAGTTAGTAATGCTTTATAGGTTATGGCGTGAAAAACATTCTTTGGTGTACTTGTTTCATGGTTTGGGGGAGTTCTAATAGTTTCTAACATTTCCCCATCCCTTTCAGTTAAATATATTGTTTGATCATATATTGAATAGTATATCACTTGTTTCACATGAGAACAATACTCACAAAGATAACAGTGGCCGTATAGCTTTTATCCTTTACTTCAGAACCTTATCTGGAAAAGATTGTCTTATCCGAATGCAGTGTTCTTTGTCGTTCAGTACTACCATTAAGTATATTAACATGTGGAAGTGCAATTTTCAGCCAAAATTTACTACAAACTAATTCATTTCACCAAATATCTTTGCTATACAGAAAATATTTATGTTTACATGTACTATTTTAATTTACTCTCGTTATGCATAGGTGCACTATTTTGAAAGCATATATGGCTAATCGAGTATTATTGAGTATCTTGCATCTTTTATGTAATTTCAGATTTTCTCCACTCCAGAAGTTCATATTGGCTTCCATCCTGATGCTGCAGCTTCCTTTTACCTTTCACATTTAACTGGTCATGTAGGTAAGCCCTTCAGTATGAGGTTTGTTCCATTATGTCCTTCACTTTTTGGAAGGATTTTATGCAATTTGATATATTGGATAAAACCAATCTTTATCATCTCGCTTGCTCTTTTAGAATGTCTATGGACATCTTCGAGGCGATTGGGAGCTGTCATCAGTAGCTACATGTAAAAGACTGGTTTAAATATCCGTGCTTGCTCTTCAATTAGCCTGTGGTTTTTTTTGTCAGATTAAATGTGTCGTATTCCCTTTGAACTTGGACTTGGTGACTTGTCTAGCTGTACTGCTCGCTCTTTCCTTGGAGCCCTTTACATTTTTGTTTCACCTGAAAGTGGTTATTCTGGAATTCAGTTAAATTTGAAGTAATCTTCAAGTTTGTTGTATTCATCATATTCACAGTTGGAAAGGGTTTGTTTCCTAAATTCCGTTCTCCAAGTGATTTGCTTATCTCCAGTATTGTTTCCTCTCTTCCTCTACTAGAGAAGTTAATTCAAACATGCACGAGTGCAGGCTTATACTGAATTTGCAGGAGCTTTAGAAACAAACATGTTTGTCAATGAGTTGAGTGATTATATATTTCAACTTCTTGAAAAATATCTAGTCAATGTTGTGGGAATTGATCTGCCAACTTCTTAGTCAATTTATGTAGGTAGTAAGGTTTTCATGTTGATTGCTCTAGGAGACCCTGGATTGATTGGACATTTGAGAGCAAGCTGTGGACATCCATTTTACACATGTTAGCTTGTTTGTTCATGTGAAAAGCCACCCAAAAAATAAAAAAAGGCCGGTGTTAAGGCTAACTTGCTTACTGTGTGCTTGGGTTCTCAAATGGTAGATAGTTTACGTAAAGTGTAGTGCTTGGGTTCTCAACATAACCGTGTGCTTGGCTAACTTGCTTATTTCCCTTCTTCATTTATCCTTCATGAAATGAAGATTATGCATATAATGCTATTCTTCCAGGTGAATACTTAGCTCTAACGGGTGAAAGGCTTGATGGAGTGGACATGCTGGCAATCGGCCTTGCTACACATTATTCAATGAGTGCTGTTAGTTTCTCTTGACCATCTATTCTTTTGGAATTCCATTTCAAGTATACTTTGTATTATGCTGATACAATAGCATTTTCATTCAACAGAGACTTAGTTGGATAGATGAACGGCTTGCCAAGTTGGTTACTGATGATCCTTCAGTCATAGACTCTTCTCTTGCACAATATGGTGATATTGTTTATCCAGACAAAAAGAGCATCGTTCATAGGTAACTTCATTTGCTTTGAATATCATGTTAGGCTAATTCAGCAAGATCCATGCATCCTTTTCTCTGTTCAGTGAACATATCAAATGAATTGTAATTTGGTCAATTGTAGTGCCCTTCATTTTTGATTCTTTGAATATCAAAAGTTTCACGGTCAAAAGTCTAAACTATAGTGAAAGTCTTGGATTACTTTTGCTGTCTACCCTAGATTAGCTAGTCCACTTTTGTATAATAGGAGGAGTACGTGATAAGCATGCTTGCAATTATACTATTGATGCCTGAAGATCGTTCTAGACCCATGACCAAGGTTTTAAATATTGGTTTTCAGGGATTTATCAGACGGTCAAAATCCATATCGGATAGCATATATCGGGATATATTGGGGATAAGTAGTGTTTATCGGAGTGACATTACCGGATGGTGATATACATAATATAATATTCTAGAATGTAATTTAACCGAACTTAATGAAATATAGACATACCAAAATGTAAATAATTATGTTTAGGATTGAAGAAAAACTGAGTTTCTTTTTTCTTATTGATCAAATATTTACAACCTAATATATATAAGATGTGGCTGGCATTCCAGTCCACCAAATAAGGAAACAGAATTCCTTTAAATAAGGGATCCTAACTAAAACTGGAAAACAGAAATTAAATCAAATCTTTTCTAAAACAGAATCTAAATCTAATCTCTTCTAAAACAGAAGCTAAATCTAATCTTTTCTACACTCCCCCTCAAGCTGGGTTGTATATGTTATACAAACTAAGCTTGGAGTTCAATTCATCAAAAATAGCTCTTGGAAGTGCTTTGGTGAGAACATCAGCAATCTGCTGTCTTGTTGAAACATAACTGAGTTGAACAATCCCATTGTTGATCTTCTCTGAGATGAAGTGTCTGTCGATCTCAATATGTTTTGTCCTGTCATGATGAACAGGATATTTGGCTATGCTAATAGCAGCTTGGCTATCACTAAGCATCTTCACTGCATTCTGTGTTTGAACCTTGAGTTCTCTTAAAAGCCTTTGAAGCCACATTCCTTCACATATTCCCAATGCCAAAGCACGATACTCTGACTCTGCACTACTACGAGAGACAACGACTTGCTTTTTGCTTCTCCATGTGACAAGATTACCCTAGACATATGAGCAATAACCAGTAGTTGATTTTCTGTCTGTTAATTCTCCTGCCCAGCTAGCATCAGTGTATATTTCTACTTCTCGTTTTTCAGACTTTCTGAATAGTAGACCATGCCCTGGAGTCATCTTCAGGTACCTCAAGATTCGATTTACTGCTTCCATATGGTCCTTATTTGGATCATTCATGTGTTGGCTTACTACACTGACTAAGTATGCAATATCCGGTCTAGTATGAGACAGATAGATAAGCTTACCAACTAGTCTTTGGTATCTTCCTTTATTCACGGGACTGATGTCTTTACTCCTATTCAACTTCTTATTAGGATCCATAGGTGTGTCTGCAGGTTTACCTCCAAGTAGACCTGTTTCACTTAGTAAATCTAGGATGTATTTTCTTTGGGATATGACAATTCCTTCTTTAGACCGAGTCACTTCCATGCTTAGAAAATACCTTAGGGTCCCAAGGTCCTTGATTTCAAACTCTGTAGCCAACATATTTTTGAGATTGACTAGAAAATACCTTAGGGTCCCAAGGTCCTTGATTTCAAACTCTGTAGCCAACATATTTTTGAGATTGACAATTTCCTCTGAATCATCTCCTGTCAGGATGATGTCATCAACATATACTATGAGAATAACAATCTTTCCTCCTGGTTTGCGTTTGATGAACAAAGTGTGATCAGCCTGACACTGGTGATACCCATCAACAGTCACTGTCTTAGCAAACCTATCAAACCAAGCTCGTGGAGACTGCTTCAAACCATACAAGGACTTCTTCAGCTTGCACACTAACCTGCTGTTTGAACTGGTTTCCATTCCTGACGGAATAATCATATAAACTTCTTCTAGATCTCCATTAAGAAAGACATTCTTTACATCAAGTTGGTATAGAGGCCAATCTTGATTCACTGCAAGAGAGAGTAAAACTCTAATTGTGTTGAGTTTGGCAACCGGAGCAAATGTCTCCTGGTAGTCAATCCCATATGATTGTGTGAAGCCTTTGGCTACAAGTCTAGCTTTGAATCTTTCAACACTGCCAGCTGCCTTGTATTTCACTATGAATATCCATTTACAGCCAACTGGATTCTTACCCTGTGGTAGTTTAACTAGAGTCCATGTATTGTTCCTTTCTAGAGTCTGAATCTCCTCTTCCACTACCTTCTTCCATGCTGGAATTCTTAGAGCTTCTTGTATTGAATTAGGCACCTGCACGTTGTTAATAGTTGAAACAAAAGCTCTGTATGGAGGAAGCAATTTTTCATAGGCTACATATTTCTCAATGGGATGACTAGTGCACCCCCTAACCCCTTTCCTGTAAGCAATGGGCTGATTCAAGTCATCAATCATAGGAGCAAAAGCATCATATGATAAGGATTTCATACCATTATGATTGTCAGATGCAAGAGGACCCGATTCCAATGATTGAGAATCTTGAGTTTGAATGGTGTCCTGTTTATGCTCAGTAGGTCTTCTCCTTCTATAGACACGTAGTTCAGAATTGTCAAGTTGTGGCTGATTTGAGTCAAGTGAGGTTGTTTCAGGAACATGAATAGACATGGGTGGAACTATTTCAGGATTGTGAGTGTCAAGTTGTGAGTGATTTGAGTCAAGTGGGGCTGTTTCAGGAGTATCAGGAGCAGGGACTGGTGTTTTTTCGGGACAGTTTCAATGACAGACAGATTTTGGTTGAGTAGATATATCATTAGTGTCTCGAAGAAGATCCCAAATCTGATATTCTCTTGAGTTGTCCCCCTGATTGTCAGATTTGGGAAAATAGGACTGATTTTCAAAGAATGTCACATCCATGGAGTTGTATACTCTTCGAGTTGTCAGATTTGGGAAAATAGGACTGATTTTCAAAGAATGTCACATCCATGGAGTTGTATACTCTTCGAGTGATTGGAGAGTAACACTTGTATCCGATTTTCAAAGAATGTCACATCCATGGAGTTGTATACTCTTCGAGTGATTGGAGAGTAACACTTGTATCCCTTTTGATTGGGGGAATAACCAATAAAGATACACTTAAGGATCTTGGATCAAGTTTGGTACGTTGATGTTGGTGAATGTGAACAAAGGAGGAACAATCAAACACTTTGAGTGGTAGTTCAGAAGAAAAAGAGCGGATATTGGGATAGGTATTGAGGAGTATCTGACGAGAGGTTTGAAATTTCAGGACTCGGTTAGGCATCCTATTGATGAGGTAGGTGACAGTAAGGATGACTTCCCTCCAAAAATATTTAGGAACATTGTTGGTGAACATGGTGACATGAGCAACTTCTAGTAAGTGTCTATTTTTCCTTTCAGCCACCTCATTTTGTTGTGGGGTGTCAACATAAGAACTGATGTGAATGATACCATGTTTGGAGAGATAAGAGCCAAGAATAGAATTAAAATAATCTCTGGCATTATCAGTCTTAAGAACTTGGATTTTGCTCTGAAATTGGGTAGAAATCATGGAGTGGAAGGAGTGGAATATTGTAGATGTTTCTGATTTTTCTTTCATGAGAAAGGTCCAAGTAGTTTTTGTGTGGTCATCTATGAATGTAATAAACCACCTAGCCCTAGTAATATTTTTGATACGTGAGGGTCCCCAAATATCACTATGAATGACAGAGAATGGATGTGAAGGTTTGTATTGTAAACTGGAATATATATTTCTAGTATGCTTTGCAAGTTGACAAATTCACATTGATAGACATTCGAACTTTTATTGATGAATAAATGTGGAAACAACTTCTCTAAATAACCAAAGTTTGGATGACCAAGGCGAAAATGCCATAACATAACTTGACTTTCAATTGAACTTGAATTGGAAACAGACACAGAATTTGAAACACACTTGACTTTGACTTTCAATTGAACTTGAATTGGAAACAGACACAGAATTTGAAACACACTTGACTGAATTTGATGTAAGACCAAAACTTGACGATTGAACTTGTCTATCGAGGAAATTATTTTCTTTGAGCAAATATAGGCCACCATGCATCTCAGCACTGCCAATCACCTTCCCCAAATCCACTACCTGAAAATCACAAAGATTAGAATAAAACTTAGTCACACAATTGAGGTCACGAGTAAGTTGGCTGATGGAAATTAAATTACAGTTCAATTTGGGAACATAAAGGATAGGAGAAAGCAGAAGGTCCTTTGTTAATTGAACGGATCCGATTCCTGCCACTGGTGATAAAGAGCCATCAGCCATTCGGACTCCAGAACTGCTAGTACACGGTTGATAATTTTTGAGTAGGTTGATGTCTCCAGTCATGTCATCTGAGGCTCCTGAGTCGATTATCCATGGCTTTAAGGATTTATTTTGGACAATATAGGCATAGGATAAGGTACCTTGGTGTGCAAGGAGACTAGTGGGTGGTTCGGCAGGTGCTTGAGATGGTTGTCCAGAACTCGACGCTTGACTCAACATTTTCTGCAGTGCTTCAATCTGCTTTCTGGTGAAAGGACTGTTCTCTGTGGTGACTGCAACATTTGCACGGTTTTCTTTCTCAAACCGAGTATGGGATGACTTCCAATCTGTTGGTTTGCTATGTAGTTTCCAGCAAGTAGCCTTGAAATGACCAAGTTTCTTGCAATGGTCACACCAAGGCCGCCCTTTTCCAGACTTATTGGGTTGAGAAGAATTATGGGTGAACAAAGCCGAGCCTTCCACTGCAGGTTTATTTTCTGTCAGCATCAATTTCTTTCTACTTTCCTCTCTTCTAACTTCTGCAAAGGCCTCTCTAAGATTAAGAAATGGCTTGATTCCCATGACTCTTCCCCTGACTTCATCTAGATCCTTGTTTAGACCAAGAAGAAATCGAATAGTCCTTTTTTGCTCAACAATTTGCTTATACATAGCAGAATCATCAGCACATTTCCAGGAATAGACCTCATACAGATCTAATTGCAACCAGCAGCGTGTGAGGATGTTAAAATATTGTGTGACACTCATATCTCTTTGTTTGAGGTCATATAATCTTGTTTCAACCTCAAACAGTTCAGAGGTATTTTCTGTGCTTGAGTACGTTTCACGTGCAGCCTCCCATATGTCCTTGGCTGTCTTGTGAAGCAGAAAGTTTTCTTGTGCTTGAGTACGTTTCACGTGCAGCCTCCCATATGTCCTTGGCTGTCTTGTGAAGCAGAAAGTTTTCTTCAACTTCAGTGGTCATGGAATTTATCAGCCAAGACATAACAAGATGATCATCAGTCTTCCAGGTTCCATGTTTGGGATCTTTAGTATCCGGAGCCACAGGCTCGCCGGTGAGATGTCCATCCTTTCCTCTGCCGCAAATATACATGAATACAGATTGAGACCATTGGAGATAATTCTGGCCATGGAGTTTATGATTTGTGATGATATTCAAGGGGAAATCAGGGACGGGGCAATTGACCTCGGATCTAGAAGTGATTTCTGAGGAAGATGAAGCCATGCCGTATTTGGTCATGGGAAAGAACAAGAATTGTCAGATGAAGGAGGTGACCAGATAGCGATGAATGAAGAAGAATGGCTAGGGCATAGATATGTGCTCTGATACCATGAAGAAAAACTGAGTTTCTTTTTTCTTATTGATCAAATATTTACAGCCTAATATATATAAGATGTGGCCGGCATTCCAGTCCACCAAATAAGGAAACAAAATTCCTTCAAATAAGGGATCCTAACTAAAACTGGAAAACAGAAATTAAATCAAATCTTTTCTAAAACAGAATCTAAATCTAATCTCTTCTAAAGCAGAAACTAAATCTAATCTTTTCTACAAGGATCATTAACCAGTAGTAAAAACTTGGGTCGGGTCGGGTTTAAAGTGCATTGAATAGGTGCTTGTTGCCCGAAATTAAAACTCAAGCTAATGACCGATAATTTCGAATTTTAGGCCGACAATATCGGCCGATAACTCACTTTATTGCCGCATTATCGGCTATAAACATCCACAAACAATAATCGATTTAGAATCGAACTTATCACAGCGGAAACTCCCAAAACCGATAAATTGCCGATAATATCGGTTTATCGGCCGATATTTAAAACATTGCCATGACTGCAGCTTTTGGTTGTTATTTTAGGATTCTTTGAAACATCCAGGTCGTTGTATTAACTTCTAGTAGTAGCTTATTGGTTTTGCCTTTTGACAGACAAACACATTGCAAAATGTATGTAGTGTCCTATTATGTGTTTTAATGGTTCATCTAAATTTTGCAAAATCTATGGCTCTTTGATAAAGCATGCAATTTTTAATGTGTGTGTGCAAGCATGGTTGACATCTTTGAAGCTTTTACACTGGATGATAGTTTATCCATATATGAACTGTGGGTCACTCATTGAGGTGTCTCACCATGTAGTTTGGTTGGTGGGAGAAAACTTTTTTGGTTTGAACAATAAAATACTATCCTATACTATATTTACATACACATAAGTACACATAGACAGGCAGCTTAAGAGTTTATATACAAAAATATAAACTACACGCAGCTAGAATATTACTAACTTGCAGACTNCAATATGATCTTTTTTCTCAGTTCAAAAGAGAGGGATTAGGCACCAACTCTCTCAGTTTTTTTTTTATTTTTTTTATTTTTTTATTGTTATTTTTTTCAGTTGGGAGCTTGTATGTACCTCCAGCTGCTATTCAGTAACCAACCTGGTACACTTCCTTAGAGTCGCAGTGGACATCACTACCCAAAGAAAATTTCAAGCCTATATCCAAACAATATTATGTGCTTACATCAGTTTCATCTATGGTTTTTTCAACAAGAGTTATTCATATCGCCAAATTTGCTAACTTTTTTTCTGGTAGTATATCATCAAAATAAGTAGATTTTTTGTCCGGAACTTCGCCCAGGTCTCCGGATGGACTTGTATTTTTTTATTGATATAATAGAACAAAAATACGCTGGGGGTGGGGTGGTGGTGGTGGTGGTGGTGGTGGGGGGGGTTG